GCCTTCCCCAAATTGGCATTTTCCATATCTTTTGTGCTGCAACTTCTAACGTAGCCAACCATCGACTGTGCTAACTGGGTCTGATGCCAGTTAAATTTTGAAAGACTTCAGGTTTGGGAAGGCTGGCCTATACCAGTTCTGTCTTGTCCTCTGGGCTATTTGTTGTTGTTGTTGTTATGTGCTGTCAAGTCATCTCCAACTTATGACAACCCTTTGAATGAAAGCCCTGCAGAATCATTGTTTCATGGCAGCTCTGTTCAGCGGTTGTAAATCCAAGGCTGTGTCTTCCTTTGTGAGTCAATCCAACTCATACTTGGTCTTCCTTTTCTTCTTCTGCCTTCATCTTTTCCTAGCATGATCATCTTCTGTGGGGAGTTTTTCCTTCTCATGATGTGCCTCAAGTATGACAGCCTCAGTTTTATCATTTTTGCTTCTAGGGAAAGCTCATATTTGCAAATCTCTTTCCAGCACAATGTTTTGAATGCATCAGTTTTCTTCTTGTCAGCTTTCTTCACTGTTCAGCTTTCATAACCATAGATAGTGATCAGGAATACAATAGTGTGGATGATCTTGGCCTTGGTCTGCAGTGAAACATCCTTACACTTGATGATCTTTTCTAGTTCCTTCATTGTTGCTGTTCCAAGTCTCTGTCTTCTATGAATTTCTGGGCTGCAGTCTCCATTTGAGTTGATGACTGAGCTATGTAATCTTTCACAATTTCAATTTCTTGTTAACAGTAAAGTTCTGTGATTCTTCTGTAGCTATGATTTTTGTTTTCTCCATATTCAGCTGCATTCTTGTTTTTTCTCCTTTCACTTTCATCGGGAGTTGTGACAATTCATTACTGCTTTCTGCCAGTGTCACTTTTCACTCCTTCCTCTGATCCTAATCCAGCTTTCCTTGTAGTATTTTCTGCTTACAGATTGAATAGATAGAGCTAAAATCTGACACTTTTGCCTACAGGAAACCATTCTGTTTCTCCATAATCTGTCCATGGTAAAAGTTATGCATCAGGACAAATAACTGCTATGACACATCTGTTTCTTTCAGGACCATCCATAGTTCTCATGGTCCACAGAGTCAAAGGCTTTTCTGTAGTCTATAAGCATAGATTGATCTTCTTCTGGAATTCTCTAGTGTACTCCAGTAGCTATCATATGTTTGCAGTATGACCTCAGGTGCCTCTTCCTTTTCGGAATCCAGCTTGAATGTCAGGTATTTCTTGTTCCATATAGGGTAATATTATTTGTTGCAATACATTGAATATCACTTTGATTTTATGGGAAGTTATTGCAATAGGCATATGGTTGCTACAATCTTTTACATCTCCTTCCCTGGGGACTGGAATGTAAGTTGAAGATTTCCATTCTGTGGGCCATTGCTTCGTTATCCATATTTGTTGGAATATTGTTAGAATTTGGACCGATTCAGTCTCTGCAGCTTGGAACAGTTCTGTTGGTATCCTGTCTATTCCAGGTGCTTTATTCCTTCCAAGTGCACTAACAGCAGCTTTCACTTTGCTTTCTAAGATTGCAAGCTCTTCTTCACAGGGTTCATCTTTGAAGGAGTCTGTCAGCCTTTTATTTTTTCTGTACAATCCTTCTGTATATTATTTCTACTTCTCTTAATTTTCTCCTGATCAGATAGTGTGTGTCCCTGTTTGTCATTTATCATTCCTAATCTGAAGTTGAATTTCCCTTTCATTCCTTGGATCTTCTGGAAGAGGTCCCTTATTTGCCTCTTTTGTTATTCTCTTCTATTTCTTTGCAGTGGTCAGTGTAATCATCCATCTGTAATCATCCAGTGTAATCATCTGTCATCCATCCAAGCTTGCTCGCTCGCTCTCTGCTACAGGAATTGTCTTCTGGCATTCTTTCCTAATATTGTCTCTAGTTTCAGCCCACAGTTCTTCTGGTTCACAATCAGTTAAACTGAATAATGCAAATCTGTTATTTATGTAGACTTTTAATTCCTCAAGAAAGTTAGTTACGTTGTAGTTTAGCAATTTTTTTCTGTGAGTGACCATTTTTAGCTTGACTCTTATTTTTGATATTAAGAGTTTGTGGTTACTACTACCACTACTTGTTTTAGAAGCAAGAATATAGCTTCTCTGTCTCCTGCTTCCAATTGCATAGTATATTTGATTCCTGTATTGGCCATCTGGTGATGTCCATCTATACAGTCATTGGATTGGTTGCTTCTTGTATGTATTTGTGGTAAACAGATTATTGGCTTCACAAAATTCTACAAGTTGTTTTCCTGCTCTGTTTCTTACCCATAAGCCAAATTTTCCTACAATATTTGATTCTGTTTTGCTTCCTACCTCTGTATTCCAGTCACCTTGGATTATCAGCATGTCTTCTTTTGGTATATTATTTATTTCCTCTAGGACACTGGCTGAGAAGTTTTCAATTTCATCAACTTGGTTTTGTTGATAGGTTTCCACAAATTCTGATGGATACAATTTAGTTGGACTTTGCATTATAATCCCTTACTGCCTGTGCTACATTTTGTACTAATATTAGAGTTTTTCCATTTCTCCAGAGCTTGTAATTTCTGGAATAAAACATTTTGTGTTTGTTAAAAATGTCCCATTCTAGTCCACTTTAGTTTACTCACCCAAAGTATTACAATGTTTAGCCATTTAGTCATTCTTGCTTTGCTGTTTCCAGTTCACCTTGATCCATATTTCTCACATTTCATGTTCCAATTGTATGTTTTGTGCAGCACTGAGCTTCCTTTCACCTCTGTGCAAGTCAGCCACTAGAATTCGTTTTAGCTTTGATCAAGTGACACCATTAGCAACAGCAGTATTTGTACTTTTCCTTTGCTCTTCCCAAGTAGCTCACTGAGTGCCTTTCAACCTGGGGGCTCTCATCTTTTAGCACTGTATCTTGCGGCATTTTGGATTGTTTCAGCATAGGGTTTTCCAGGTAAAGAAGATTCAGAAGTGGTTTACTATTGCCCTCTTCTCTACTGTACTAACCAGAGTTAGCTTGAGTGTAATTGCCATTATCTGTGAAAGCTCCTCCACCAGTATCATCTTCAGTTATCTCTGCTTCCTAGTAGCTGCGCTTCAGAAGTTTCTCTGGCCCCATCACCATTCGAGGAGATCTATTCTCTTCTGCTGATATGACTGTTCCTGCTGAAAAGGATGGATGCATCTTAGTCTGGTATATCTGGCCATTGTACCTTGGGTGACCCTGTTAGGAGGCCTGCCTTTCAAGACTGCCTGGCCTTCTCATGGCATTCATCTCAGCTTCTCTGTCACTCTGAAACCCCCTCACCATGTTAAGGTGTACATCCAGGTGAGGGTACTTAACATATAAATGAAATAATTTAGAGGTTTGAGGTATGATGCCACCAAAATACTGATGATATCCAAGTATTCTGTTGCTCTTTGTTGCCAGCTCTCAAGGAAGGCATCAGAACCATTGAATGAGTCCTGGGCTTGATAATGGGCTGAGTTAGTGTAACCAAGCTAAGGTTAACTTAGGCAAGATGGGGGTGTTAGTGGTCAGTAGAAAACCCAACAAAGGCTTCTGGTTGCAACCTGAAGGTGTTGGCCTTCCCTTCAAGGAAGGTTTTTATATTAGGAGTGCTCCTTGATCCTGTGCTGTCCCTGCTTGAGATGGTGGCAAGGAGTTAACTTGTAAAATTTTGCTTGTTGTGCTAACCGCAGCTCTTCCTAAAACAGCCTGACTTCACAATCATGATCCATGCTTGGTTACATCATGTTTACTCTGTTATAATGTGCTTTACCTGCACTGCACTGGTGTCAGTTTCTTTCTGGACTCATTTTGGGTTTAACATCTAATTTCTTAGGACCTGTATAAGGGACTCCTTGTCTTGCTATGTACTCGCTATAATATTAAGATCTGCAGGAGAGGCCCTTTTGGGGGCACCATTACACACAGAGTCCTGTTTATCAGGAACACATGAAAGGGCCGTCTCCTGTGTCTGTTCCAAATTGTGCTACAGTTAGACCTCACTTCTTTGGCTTTTAGAAAAGCTATGAAGACATATCCTTTTAATCTTTTTAAATTAAGCAGATGTGCTAAAGTTTTTATCTTTGCTGCTCTTTATTTGCATATTTTATTGCTTCGGGGCTTTGTTGTTTTAAATTGCTGTGTACCACCTTGATAGTGTTATTTCTATTACTATTTTAATTGCATTCTTACTGTTTTCATTATGGTTTTATCCTTCATAATACCATACTGGTTTTAAGTGTTTTATTGCTGTGCTCCACCTTGGAAGAACTTCTGCCCTAAAAATGGAGAAGAAATGTTTTGACTAAGTAAAATCACTTTTTTCACAAATCAGTCAGTATGTAAATATTGATAAGACATAGTAAACTACTCTGCAGGTCTAAGTCTATGAGAGGTCTTCCTTTATGAGTAACTGATCATTCAAACTGCAATATATATACACATAAAAATATGCTTGTATTTTAGGAACTGATTGGGAGCATTGGGCAGTATTTCATGGCAGATGGAAATGTATTTACATAGTTTGTAAATAATATCTGCAGTAGGGCTATATGAATGGTGGTCACTGGACTAGCCCTCTTCTGCTCCTGGGGTCATCAGGCCACTAGAGGCAGTGTTGAATGAGTGGCCACTATAAACAAATGATTTATCAACCATTTGGGGGATGTCTGTGGTGTCTTGATTTGCTACCCTTTAAGTTCAAGGGGCCCTTGGATAAATTGAAAGGTATGCCAGAGCTTAACATGTTTCTGAAGCAAGAGAAGATAGCTAATAATGAGGTGGGATTGTGGATGGGGTTCTTTATGAGAGACTTTTCTTGTATTTGAGCCATCCTGTGAAATTGGAGAAATATGTACCAAGTTCACTGGTGCTCCTGTCCTTAGGATTTGCAGGATTATTTTGATGGGTCTTTACCAGAAGTACCTCCAGTTTGTTTCATTTAAAGAATCGTGTTTAAATATTCTAGTTCTGAGTATATTTTTACTCACGTTTCACTTTCTTTTGTTTCAGGTGTTTCACTGTGTGCATTTTGAGTGTCCTGCCCAAATAACTGTCCATAAAGAAGAGGCTGGTGAGGAAGATGTTGGCACCGGTGGACAGCAGCTGACATTCTGCCCACCTCGAAGTTCAACCACCAGCTCTGCACATTCTCTCCCCGGATCCGTTTCACATCCATAAGCTTACCAACCATACAAGAGAATGGAGAATGTCAGTTGCAACCCCAGAGCCATGATAATTTTTTTTGCTAATTTTGTGTGTAGGCACTTCTTCATTCTTTGAATGGACAGAGGGACCATACCTGGAGATGTTCAGATGGAAAGGCTACTCCAAGACACAGTGGGAATCCTTTCCATTTTGTTAAAATCAGGATGTGCCACAGGGGGATAAAATAGGCTTTTGGTTTTCATCAAGTCTTCTATTTACTCCTTACCTCATTAAACAAACCAAACCAGGTTGAGCTGAAGGAAATAAAAATGCCAATCTAAATTGTAATATAAAAATGCCATGTGACAGTATGGAAAAGACATAATTACATTTGCCTGTAAAAGGCACTTGCTAGGAAATAGGTATTCCCCATGAACATTTATAGAAAATAGACTATGAAAACCAGTATTTAATTTAATTTATTATTAATTCATATTTCTTTAAGTTGTAAGCCATTTTCAAACTCTTTGTGTATATATTTATATATCTATATTCCTTTGCTTCCCTTTTTCCTTTTTTCCTTTTTGTTGAATTTATCATGCTACATCCAACAGATTGACTTGATGGAGGCATGATGTGATGCCCACAGTCTTTTACTCTGTTTGATAAGTAAAACTCCTTTAGGACATTATGCAGAAAACAGTTTAATCCAAGGATGCCTGCCCGAAATTGACTGATGCAATTAACACGATTTTAACTTTTTATGTCTGTGTAAAACTGACTGGCAGGTTTCTAAGCAGAAAAACAAATATTGCCCTTTTAGTAAATATAAAAGCTTTATTTTTTCCTAATGCTTAATCAGTTCTCTATTTGTGTTGATAAACTGTTTAGCTGACCAACATTTCAGCTAAATTTGATATTGACCAGATATGGGATTGCAATGCTGACAATTTGTTTATTTGTTTAGGATAATACTATTTCACTAAGGATTTAGAGAAAATACTTCTTAAAAGATTTTTGCATCACTTCCATTAAAACAGATATGATTTGTATAGTTAGATTGGATTTATCTTTTAAATAATTTACATCCTAGCAGTAGCTATCCTTTGTAATTTAGTCTGATTATCTGACTACTTATTCTGATTGTGTTCACATGCAGAATTCTGAACATTTACTTGTTTCATATCCTGCTGCATTTGCCATTGTAAAGGGAGCTCTGTTATTCCCAAATATTAATGCCAACCATCCATCTGAAAAGAGGAAAAAGAGGTGTATGTGTCATAGTATGTGATCTTAAAGAATATTATTACTGTCAACCTTTTTTAATTGGTGTAAAACAGTTTGGTGGAAATCATTATTTTATCTATGGTGTTGTATAAATAATATTATCACACTGGTTGAACTTAAGTGTTTCCATTGGGAACTCAGGTACCAGAATGAATTTGGGGCACATTTTATTAAACAAAAAGATCTGCAAGGTAATGGCAGTGCAGGAACTAGCTGCTACTTCAACACTAGCAAGGTGGGTTCTGGATGATCCCACCCTGCCCTCATGGGTGGTGGGTGTGACTTCTCCTTTTTCCTGAGGCCCCATCTTCTTTGGGGCGGGGGGCATCCTTTGTCACCCCTGCACGTCACCCCTGCACAGGTCTGAGCAACTTACAAGAGCCCTGAACAGCAAAGGGTGTAAAGGATTGCTCATCTATTTTATCTATACCCTATAAAACAGCCACTCACCACCTTGCAGATCTACTAGAAAAGTATAGTTTCCTGCATCAGAAGGTTGAATCACATCAGAACTACATAGCTTATCCTGACTATGCACAGCTTAAAGATAAGCTGTTATTCCTCCCCTAGACCCTCAGGAACAATATAACTTATTTTCTTGCTGTGTTCAAACCCAGGGACAAACCGCATCCTACAAAATTCTGTGGTGCATTAGATTGGACCACAGTATTTACATGCCTAGACAACGTTATTGGATAGCTGCAAGATCCTCATATGCTTGCAGAGAGAGAGAGCATGGCCTTCAGCAAACCGCCTCATCTTCCAAGTGGATCTGTGATGGGCGATACACCGTAAACATAACTAGAATAGAGTGGGCAGGAGGTGTAGCCACTGAATTGTAGCGAACTAGCTGAGACCAAGCTGAGGATTCCAGCTATATTTTGAGACTCTGTGGCTAAACCAGAACACAAATGGGTGTCTGAAGATGAAAATTCTCACCAAATCCCCACCCCTTGAGATTAAGATGAGAAAATTATTCAGAACTATTCATGTCCTTTATTACTGTTCAGGGGCCAAATGCAGTGATGACATGCCTTGGAACACCAGGGACCAATCAACTAAATACCCTGTGTAGGAAATAGGAGGCCCCTGGCATCCTCCTCCTCCAACACAATGGCAGTTGGTTAAAGCTCCATCCATCTGGACAGAAGGAAAGTACTTTTGAGCCTCTTCCCTTGTGGACTGCTTTTGGACTAGTGTAAATGCTGTTCCTCTGTTTTTGACAACACATGAAGATCCCCAATTTCAGTACCCCAGTGTGGTGTATCAAACTCAAACTGTGCTACAAATTCCCGTACTCTAAATGTATACTCCAAGTGCTGGTAGGGCTGCTGCACAAAAAGGCAGAATCTCAAAAGCATTGCCACAAGTACCCTCCCAGAGTCCTTTTAGGCTAAATAAAATGCCTGGCAATACAGGATTCCATGAATCTGGGGATGGAGTCTGAGCCTAGGACCAACCATCACGTATTCTCCAAATTCTAAAATGTAAAGTGACATCAGCAAGGCCTGTGATCATAGTTAAGAATGCTAAGTCCACTGACTTCCTTCAGATGGTGTATAGTTGACAGTACGTTCCACCTGGACTACACAGTATTCTGTCAAATGGTTGACAGGAATCTGGCAATCCTGGATTGATTTCTTCAGGGATGTGAATTGTAGGCTTGACATACACAGCTCTGGTACTGGAGATAAGAGATTGAAGCATGGCCTGCTTCACCTGAGGTCTCTAATCACCCACAATACCACCAGCGTGGCCTCAGGATGGGGTCAGGGGGAGAGTAATATATGAACCCTGCCTATCTAATTATGTGGTACTGCTGATATTCAAGCCTGGCACATGGTGGGCAAGTACACTGAAGCAGAGGAAACAAGTTACAAAGGTTCTTACCAAAGGCATAAGCTTGAGAATTTTATCACTTGATCGTTGCATCAAAAGGGGATTACTGAATTGGTGACACACTCAGCCCATTGGCACAAAGCCACGTTCAGTTCCTTCCAGTGGTTAGGCTAGCACTCAGCTCACCACCGTATTCTGAAGATGACCCCAAAGCTGACCTCCCCAGATACATCTGAGTGTACCTGGAGTTAGGCTTCAACTGAGACACCACCTGTCCAAAAAGAAATCCCACTGAGATGTTCTGAAAAAGAGTTCCAAACCACCAAATCATCCCTTACATAGCCAGTGTCTCTGTTCCTGTTAATGATGCAACCTCAGGCCCCTCATAGTATCACACAAATGCCTAAGGAATTTATGCCCTGCCACCACCCACCCAGAGGTGACCTCTAATTTCTTATAATACCTTCAGGTTGACTTGCCTGTTTTTTGCATCTGCTGTAACTTGAGAGAAAGCAGAAAGAATTCATCTGCCAGTAAACAGCCACACTGGGCCACAGAATGTATTCTGTTGCCCAGCAATGTTAAATGTGAGAGGCAACCCTCCGTCTTATGGGTGGCAAGCAGGGCATTAAGCTCCCAAGTAAGCTTTCACTACTCAGTTTCTGGCAGTGACTGGAATCCCAGATGCTTTCAAACAAGTCATCTGAATAGTGTGCCATTCTGTGCAAATTAGTCTGACTTATTCCAGTAAGGAGCTGGAACACTGTGGCAGCTCTGGGGATGGAACAGTGGCTCTGTTCCTGTTGATAGAAAACTTCTCTATCTTTAGAGAAACTTTAAAAGGTAAAGCTGAGTACTACGTTGGCATGGCGAACTGGCAAATACAGGAAGTTTTACTGTCACATGTTCCAATAAGGATATCCTCACAACAACAAAGTACAAGCAGCAGACTCAAACAATGCAAAATACGCACTGCACAGATGGCCCAGGAGTGCATCCTTTAATGAGTCTTCTCTGGGAAAAGAAAGGTTGTAAATCAAGTTAAGCACCCCAGGAGATACTTGGAGAACCAAACCAAGATGCCAAACCTAGGGGGCAGGGTTCGATCCTCCTGAATGGGTACCCCAAGGCTAGCACAGAATTTTAGTTGTTTGGGGGAAAATGTCTCTTTCCCCTACAAAGGAGATACTAAAAGTCAAAATAAATATCCTGTTTCTACCCTTACAGAATATAGCCTGATAAGGACTTCAGTTCCTACAATTTGACTGATATGGGTCCCTTTTAGAGAATATTGGCATCCTGGCCCTTTTTTCTTCTCTCCCTGGTTCACATGGTCAAATTCTCTAGTCCTGACAGATTATCCTAGGGGGCAAGATGTAAAGGAAGCATTCCTGCACAAATGGGCTATTTGTGCCTAAACTTACTGAGATTCTGAGTACAGAACCCCTGGGAGCTGAATTCTAAGTATGACAGGTGAGTTTAGACCACTTGACCAGTTTGTTTGGAGAACCCCCATGTCCTGAGTCCCAGCCCAGCACTCTTAACCACTGCACCATACTATCTCTCATGCAACTGTAAGAAAAGGTGCAACGGCTTGGCCAAAACATGGCAACTATTAACCCTGATGCCCTTTACACATCTAGCTAGCATTTTAAATAGTACTCAGAGGCCTTAATCCTTTTTGTCCTAGTGTTTTTCAGTCGGGAAACTTCTTCATACTTCAACCATGTGGGCCTAGAAAATTTTGTATAGGCCCAATATATAATATACAAGTTTTTGGTCAATACTATAACCTTAAGCAGAATCCTCATTTGAGCCGTTCAAGGCCCCACTGAAAGACCATTATATCTGATAAGGATGCAGGTGAGGCCTTGCTGGTTCTGGATTCAGTGACATCTAAACAAGTTGTAATTCTAAGCAAAGCATCAGTTTGAGATTTGCTTACTTTGTCTGGAGCAGCAGCTCCCCTGTACTTTGCTCTGTCTGTTTGCCTTAGCATTTTCTTAGCTAGATCACTATTGTCTACACATGGTAAAAGAGTGCCAACGGTGATTTCTTTCTCTCCTAAAGACTTGGAAGAAGGAGGCAATTCTGAATGGGTCTCAGGGTCCTTGAGTTTACCCTTCTTGTCCCTTCACGTTTCTTGCATGACACGCGTAGGAGACAGTCAAAGTAGTAACAGAAGTCTCTAAACACAGAAGCCTAAAGGTTTGAGCCTGTGCAGAAAAACCAGCAACCAATCTTCAGTCACAACAGGGCCCACACAATAAACAAGATTTGGATGCTGCCAACAGGCAAACTTGATTGCAATAGGTCACCAAGTCCCAACTATACCTCAGTTAAAGCCGAATAGCCCTGCTTCTCCATAGACTACTGGTCCTGCGACAAGAGAGTGAGAAGAGAACTAGGCCACCAAGATCAAGTAAGGAGGTGAGGACAATCCCAAAATGGAGAAGGGGCATCTCCTGAGGTAAGCAGCATCCAGAAGAATCTAGCAGCCTATCCCTCCCATCTCCAGCAAACCATCGGCTGCAAAACCAGCTCTGAAAAAGGAAGGAGCAAATATCCCGTTATTGCTACTTCAGCCCTTGTGCTCTTGCTTAAGGCTTCAAAATGGCACAGACCTGGTGCCATGCAAAGGATATTTATAAAGGCCAGCCTGGCCCTGCATGAAACACAACATGTCTCCAACACAACGGATGGAAGCCACTCCCCTCTCGCACCACCACTCCCATGGAACCCCACTGCAAACAAGTGAAACCAGTCTACTGAATGCTTTCTGTAATGAAACTCATAAAGGAACAGAGAACATAACAGCTGCAGTAAAGGAAGATGGCTTCCGTTTTGTCCTGCTATCTTGGAAAACGCTCAGTTGGCTTTGGATAACATGGTTAAACCATGATAAGATGCAGCACCCACAGATGCCAAGGTGCATGTGCAACCGCTCACCTGGGGATTGTGTCATACAACCCTGCAAGTGTGGCTTGCCCATACAGTGGACAGAAGGAAGAGAAGGTTACAGTGGCATTAGCTACTCATTCTATTTGGCCAAGTGCACATGCAGTCTGGAGTCTTTTGATTTCATTGGTTCAGTGCTGTCATGTGCTCTCAAGGCATCTCCAGCTTGTGGCAACCCTATGAATGAAAGTTCTTTAAACAGTCCCACTTTGCTCTTGTCAATTCAAGGTTTTTGGCTTCCTTTATGGTGTAAGTCCATGTCATATTTGGGTTTCCTTTTCTTCCACCTTTAACTTTCCCTGACATTATAGT